CACACACACACACACACACACACACACACACACAAATGTTATTGCTGGGAGCTTCCCCAGGCCCATGTCTGCTTGGGCACTGTGCTCAGTCCTTGGGGGGAGCTCCTCATGAGGAAGTAATGGAGATGGGAACTGAATCGGGGTCTAGAATCAAAGAAAGGAAGAATCAAAGGAAATGGGGGCAGATCTGTACCCCACCCCCAGGCGGAAAGGGGGTTCTCAGAAAGGCTGAAGCTACCCAAGGTCTTCAAAGCACAGCACTAAGACCTTCGGGCACCCCCGCCCCGGTCCCGTGCACCAGGGCCCGTTGGGGAGTGGGGCAGGTGAGGTGCACTGGTTGGCCTCCGAGAACAGGCAGGGCCGCACTGCTTCTCTCGGGGTCACGTGAGCACACAGTGGCACCAGGGCACATCCCATCAGCTGGGTACGAATATGCAAAGTCCTATTTGCCTGGCCTGCAGCAGGCACTTAATAAGCATTCATTGACTAAATTATAGCACATATAACACGTGGCTACATTTGAAGAGTGGTGGGGGAGAGACAGTCAACAACTTCGGTGTAAGGGGCCTCCTTTGCTCCTTCTCCTTGCCCACTCCCAAGGCCCACGTGGATGATTCAGGAGGAAGCGTCCCCCAGGCTCGGGGAGTCAGAAGCCCTCACTCACCAGGATTAGTTTTCCGGATTTCACTATACACCGTCTCTGTGCCCTTGGTTTCCAGACCTGGAAAGTGATCAAGCACAGGTCAACAGCTGCCTCTGGGCACCAGGTCGGCCCACTGCCGAAGCAAGACAATGTGTGAGGCTCCCTGCTTACCCACGACCCCACCCCACGAGTGCCTGTCTCCAGCAAGCCCTGGAGACCTTAATGCCACTAAGCCCAGGCCATTCCCTGGCTTTACAAGATCCTGGTCTAAGTAGCCTCACTCTCTGTCTGGAAGTATGAAGTCAACAGGCCATTATGGGTCCACCTGGACCACTCACAGGTGGAGGGGTTCCCAGCATAGGCCTGCAGCCTCCTGCTCAGTGGTCCCATACCTCCTTCCCTGCCAGTGCGTTCCTGTGTCCAACTGCTCTCCCCGCCCCTCCCAGGAGGCTGGGCTATGACTTCCCAATCACCCGAGGCCTGGGTTCGAGCCTGGGCCTCATCTGTGATGTTAAGGATCAGCTGGGACCGACAACCACTTAAAATCTTGACAGCGGGGCTAGTTGATTTCACACGCCAACACGTGGGCCTCATTCTGATTCTGATTAGTTCTGGAGTGGCCCTGGCATTGGTGGGTTTTAAGAGCTCCCAGGGGATTCCAATAGGCAGACGGGGTTGAGATCCTCTGGTCTGGACTCTTTTGGACTGGCGCACAGATGACCAGCCAGGGTATGGATCACACTCAGGGGAGACCCAGGGTTTGGAGGACAAAGCACCCGTATGGTCATCTGTTTAAGTTGAAGTAGGTGTACAGGTTGTGTATACACACACTTGTACACACACTCGTAGTGTATCTACACGCATTGTATGAATCATAGAGGGTGTATACACACAGCATGTACATACATACACATCCACGAACCCTCAGGAAACAGGATGGGACCCCACTTCTTCCCCCACCTCCTCTCACCTGCACAAAGGACAAGGAAGCCTCATTGTAGAAAGGTGGCTCATGCCATGAGGCCAACATTCTCTTTCTACAGATCCGGAAATGAAGCCCCAGACCGGGTAAGATGCTTCCTGCCACCATGCTCAGCGCCATGTGATTTTTCTTGGTGGCAGGTGGCTGGGGCATGTCCACGGACTCTAACTGCACCGAGATACCCTTGACTCCCTAGGCCCCAGGGATGCCCCCTGACCCTGAACATACCCTTTCACCGCTGGCCCGGCCCTTTCTCTTTGCCCCATTCCTCCTCATCCTCCAAGTCTCAGGACAGGCTTTGCTTCCGCACTTGGGTACACATACCCTCACCCACCTGCATACACCCCAACACATGCACCCCTTCTCAGGGCCCAGGGCAGTTGCTAGGCCCCCTGTGCTCCCACGGCAGTTTGGGGACACTTGTCCACAACCACACTGACATTATTTGTCCCCACGACTGCCTGTCCCCTGATGGGCCCGGAGCTTCTCCAGGGGTCTGGTGCACCTCCCAGTCAATGCAGTTACCTGGAGGCACCCGTAAAGGTTTCGCGAGATAGTGACGGCACCAGTCAGTGCGCTTGCGGGTGCCTCTATCTCAGGTCCCCTGAGCCTCAGGAAGGCTTTGGCATAATCAGCTTGCTCCCCGAGGTTTTAGATTTTAGAACTGAAATCATGGTCATTCATTAGACACTGAATGGCGGTGGTTCCCGTGCCAGGACCTGAGCACCAGGAGGAAGCCTGAGGGGGTGTTTCAGACTCCAGCAGGTGAACTTGGGACATTTTGGGTGGCCAGGGCCTCACACAAGTCTTCATATGGGTCCCCCCCCCCCACCCAGGGCACCAAACAGGAGTTGGTACTCACTAGAGTGACTGAGATACTAGGTGCTCTCAGCTTAGAGGACGGACACCTGCCGTTCTCTAAGAGGCCAGCAGAGATGCTTATACCAGGCTCCCTCCGTGGCACCAGATTTAGGGGTGTAGAGGGAAGCTCCAGGGTTTCCCATATCTCCTGGGGAAATCTCTCACATTCCCAAGGGATTCTGCTCAATGTCAGGCCCAGGGAAGTCACTCCTTCAGTATGATTCTAACACCTATTGTGTGCTGGACAGGGTGGAAGCTGAAGCTGAAGCGGGAGGGAAAAGGCAAATCACACCCACACTGGAGCTTTCAGAAGCACCAGGCCATGGGACAGACAATGCTGTGATAAGCAATATAGGTGCTCTGGGGTCTCTGCCAGCTCCTCCTCCGACCCCCCCGCCCCACAATGGGAGTGGGGGCCACAGGGAAGGAATCGAGGGAGGGGGCTGGGTGGCCAACGTGGGGGCCTGGACACCCTTGTAAGCTCCACCGCTCCCCGGAACACAAGAGTTGCTGGTAGACCTCTCTGGCCACCTTGGGGACACGCTAACAGCCTCTGGACTCAAGAGTCACGCTTGACTCCCTTCGTCCTTATAACTGCAGATCAGCCTGTTGGTTTCCGTCCTTGGCTGAGCAGCCACACTTGCAGCTGCCCCAGCGGCTCCTCCCGCTGCCCCCCTGCTCTGCCCTTCGGTGATGGGCGGGAGCCCCCCCCACCCCCACCCCAGGCCGCTCGTCACCACCTCCCCTGCAATGCAGCTGCCTGCTAATGACTAACCCAGGCCAGCAGGCTGTTTGTCTCTGCTGTCAGGGATGTTTCCGGATGGTGCTTTATTTTGGCTCCTGTTTTTCTCTGTTAACAGAGAAAGAGAAGTCTTCAACGTCATGGGGTTTTCCCAGCAATTAGCCTCACAGCAAACAAGCAACAAACTGGTTTAACGAGTTCCTTCCCACCCCGCCTCCATCCCCGAGTGACTCCTTGGGCAACTGCCCAGTCAGAGTCAGAGCTGGACTGGGTTCCCAGCCCCTCCTCCACCCCAGCTGTAGAAGAGGGAGCTTTGAGGACGGGGAACTGGATTGGCCAAGACCAGATCAAGTTTACTCATCACTGGCCTTCAACCCACAGAGCCCTTTCCTCACCCACCCACTTCAGGACTTCCCTACCCTTGCTGTCCCTTAGCACCAACGAGGCTGGGTTCTGAAAGCTCAACTTGAATCTTCTAGAAACTCTCCATTTCCACCCACGAGGCACTCATTTTAGCTCTCCCGAGGCCCCCACAGCAGCCTGGGGAAAGGTAACCACTTGGCTGGCTACCTGCACACAGCTTGTCAAGAAAAGCTTCCCTCCTCACCCCGTCCTGGGACTTCTTTTCCCTCGAAAGCACCCCCGCCCCCGACCTTCAAGCAAGAAAAAGAAAACCAGATACTCTAACATGGAAACATTTCCAAAAGAATGGAAAATGGATGCTTTTCCAGGGAGAAACCCTGCTTCCTTTCTCCGTCAGCTACTTTAAATCCAAGGCCTCCCAGGCACTGGGCAGAGCGCTCATGAAGCCACCTTGTCCTGAGCCGACTAGCAGCCCCGGAGGGGCAGGGCCTGGCCCTCTGTGAGGAGCTTCAGGACTGTCTGCTTGAGCTCCCAGTGGAGTTTGGAGGGTCAATGGGGACAGCAGAGTTTTTCTACACATCATCAAAACCCTGGGGCAGCCCTGCCCTCCTGTTATGGTTCCTCTTTCCTTCTGAGTCTGAAGTCCCCTTAAAGGGAAGTAAGCCGTTACTCACAGGACTGAGCCCAAGTGACAGACGGGCATGTGCATCGGGCATTGGCAGGACCAGAGAAGGCTGGAGGGGAGACCCCTTCCAGCCCCTGTAGCCAGAGCCAACCCATACTCAGTTCTGGGCACCAGAGCCCTGTGCTGTCTCCTCTTGGGCATCTCATACTTAACCCAGCTGAACCTGCTGTTCCTCCCTGTCTCAGATCTCATGACCATCCACACAGTTGTCCACTCACACAACCTGTAGTGATTCCGTCTCCCTGGTCCTTGCCATAAAATTCATCCAGTGTTGTGATGTCTCTAAAATAGATCTGGAACCCATCCACTGCCAGCACTTTGGCTCCGCCCCCATCCCTTGTTGCCCAGTGTTAACACACGGGTCTCTCTGTCTCCATCCCTGTCTGCTTTCAGTCTGTCCTCTGCACCAGCCACACGGACCCTGTCAATTTCCTGCTTAGAGGCGTCTAAAGGCCTTCTGCTCCACTGAGACTAGAATTGCAAAGGGAACCTCAGAGGCCCCGCAGGCTGCACGCGTACCTTTGCTACTTGGCACAGGGGTTGGTCCAACACCGCCCTTAACTTGCTAACAGGCAAACCACTTTACAATGAAATAAGGAAGAAGAGAATTTCAGGCCTGCCATGGCCCCCACCATTCCCAGGTCCAGTCCAGACTTGGAAGTGGGACGCCCTGTGTAGCGTTTGTGCAGATCGGGGAGTACCAACTCTAGGGGGCCATTCTGATTGCAGACTGTAGGATCAGTGCCCCACTGCACGGTGCACAGCCTAGGGGCCTTTGGGGACTGCCTTACCGAAAGATTCTGTGCACATAGCTGCTGACATGGTACCCAGAACCTAAGCAAGGGAAGAAAGAAAGAACCCCAAACACTTCCCAAATCATGGAGCTAGAGGTAACAAAGGGATGCCCTTGCCATGTGGCTCTGGCTAATGCCTGGTCTGGCCCTCAGCTTGCCAGGCAGAATAGACACAGCAGTGGCCTCAGCCTCAGCAGGAAGGGGGGGTGGGTGCATGACAATAGCCCTAATGAGCTTCCCAGGAGGGGAGGAAGGCTTTGGAGAGCTCCTTTGAGCACAGGGGCCTGTGGGAAAGCCAGGGTGGAGAGCTAGGAAGGCACGCATGGTTTTTTGTGGGACCAAAAGCAACTGAAATTGCTGTTCTAGCATTTGCTATGGACCAGCCCACTCTGAGTCAGTCTCAACCAGCACAGGACCAGAACTAGTGGCCTCCAGGCCAGCCCGCCCCTGAGAGAACCACACACATGAAAACAAAACCTGAAGTGTGAAGCTAGTGCCACTGTTTACACAGCAGGGTACTCTGTACTTTCAAGAGCCTTTACCCAAGCGTGCCTTGAAAGAGCCAAGCCCTCACTACCTTCAAACGTGCATTTCATTTACACAAGCTCAGTGTGCAAGCAACTTTTTCAGGACGATGCTAGGTTTGGGCAAGGAACATACGTCTGTAGGAAAGTCCAAACGCCCAGGGGTAAGGCTGCCCTCAAAGTCTCTCACCAAACACATTTCTTAGCGCTTAGTAGTTGCTCAATAAAACTTAGTCATGGTTAGTAGTAGGTAAACAATAATTAATGAAATGTTACACCTCAAAAGCCTAGGCGGGGGGTGCTCTTGTCATAGGCACGTCTAACAGGCCTGTCTGCTGACCACCCCCCTTCTGACGGACTGAAGGGACCCTTGTCCCCGGGTCATAGCACACCTCACTCTGTTGTCTACACCCAAGCAGAAAGCAAAACATGGGGAATCGCTCCAGGGATGGTGTTTACCTTGGTAAGGCTCAGATGGGGTCACTTGCACTTCTGTGTATTCCACATCCATGGTCAGAGGCTCTGCTCAAAAGAACCACAGCACCGGTGAGACAAAATCTCCTTGGGGAGCCTCAGCCTGCCTTAGAGATTTCCACTCAAATGATTATAACATTCCATATTTCGAGGAGGAAGCCAGACACAGGCCTAATGCCATTCTAAGTAGGTGAGAAATCTTGGGCTAGAGAAGACAGTCACAAGTCCTGTTTTCTCCAGGATGTGGAAAGGCCCTCCGGCCCAGGTCCCCATTGTTTCTACAGGGGAAGGATTTGTAAAAGCTCAGTAGACACAGAAAACAGCCAGTATCATCCATGGCAGTTAACTCTAGAAGCCTCCTCCACAGCCACAGGCATAGAAAGCTATCTCCAAGATGGAAAGGATCTCAGGAAATGGGGAACAGGGTCCCCCGCCTAAAAATGCTCTGACAGTATGAGCCACACGCATAGGAAAACAAGTTAACGAGAGCAGTTGGGCCGCTAGAGTGAAATCCAGTAAATTAGTTTGTCTCAACTCAAAATTACATTATTGTTTTATTTTTGAAGCCTCAGAGTTGGGGTTTCTCGCCAGCACTGAAAACATCGATATGTGGTCAAGGACACAGGTGTTTACTTTTTTAGATTTTTTTTTTTTTTTTTTTTTTAAGTAGGCTTCACATCCCGCTCAGAGTCTGAAATCATGACCCAGAGATCAAGACCTGAACTGAGATCAAGAGGCAGACTAACAAAGCCACCCAGGCGACCCTACTTTATATTTAGCTCCTGTGATAGAGCCCCAGGGTGGGGGGGGGAAGAATTTTGAGAAACGATTTATGATTTAGCCCAATCCTTCTGAGGTTTAACCGTAGCAGGGAATCTACTGTTAATTGTCTTTAAAAATTAGCAGCAATGCTAGTTTATTTTTTTATAGTGTATGTTTTATTTTTATTAAATATTGAGACACAAAATAATATTTTTAAGTTATGTATAAAATACATGGGACGCTTGGGTGGCTCAGTCGGTTGAGCGTCCAACGTCAGCTCAGGTCATGATCTCCTGATCCGTGAGTTCAAGCCCCGCGTCCTGTGTCTCCCTCTCTCTCTGTCCCTCCTCCGCTCACACACACTCTCTCTCTCTCTCTCTCAAAAATAAATAAACATGAAAAATAACTAAATAAAAATAAAAAAACATCCCTGCTTCTACTATCCAAAAGAAAGGAGGTTCTCTACAGTACTCATTCTGAATCAGCCAGTTCCCTGTTAGGTATAACCCAGTTCTTTCCCACTAGAATTTTGGTTACTTTCCATTAAGGACACAAGATAGCATCTTTGGAGAAAGCAACCAGCCATCTCCATTTATACACAGTGGCCAGGGACAGGGTCACTGAGAGAGGTGGGGAAACATCCCCAGGCCTTAACAGTTTTAGCTCTTTCCCTAAGGGTCTTTTTTAACGTAAAGTTTCTAAGTAAAAAAACTTTTTTAAATTAGATAATTACCTTTATTTTCATTTGCTGGTTTCATTGCATGGTTTCCAACATCTTCACTGTAACCTAGTTGAAAAATAACAATTAGGATGAATGGCAATGGAAATTCTAGCTTTTTATACAATGTTTAAAAAATTTAGTGCCATGGGGCACCTGGGTAACTCAGTCGGTTAAGTGCTCAGGTTATGCTCAGGTCATGATCTCGCAGTTTGTGAGTTTGAGCCCCACATGGGGGGTGGGGGGGAGCTGGGAGCCTGGAGCCTGCTTTGGTTTCTGTGTGTAACCTCTCTCTCTGACCCTCCCCAGCTCACACTCTGTCTTTCTCTCTCTCTCTCTCTCAAAAATAAACAAACATTAAAAAACAACAACAACGGGGCGCCTGGGTGGCGCAGTCGGTTAAGCGTCCGACTTCAGCCAGGTCACGATCTCGCGGTCCGTGAGTTCGAGCCCCGCGTCGGGCTCTGGGCTGAGGGGTCGGAGCCTGGAGCCTGTTTCCGATTCTGTGTCTCCCTCTCTCTCTGCCCCTCCCCCGTTCATGCTCTGTCTCTCTCTGTCCCCAAAATAAATAAACGTTGAAAAAAAAAATTAAAAAAAAAACAAAAAACAAAAAACAACAACAACAACTTAGTGCCACTCAGAAATGAAGTCAGGCCTAACTTCTTCAGTGTAGTGGGCAACCAGCAGCGTATCTGATTCTGGATTCCCTTCTGGTTCCCTTTCAGCCCCATCCCGCCCACTGTGCGGTCTCTTTCTAACACCAGGAACACGCTTACCATCCCATGGGAGGAAAACTTCTGCCTATGGGTTGTTCAAAATTCAGAATTGTTCACGTTGAGCAACCCCATTAGAAATGAAGCTAAATTCCTTTTTTGTTTATTACTTCTGAGAGAGAGAGACAGAGTGTGAGTGGGGGAGGGGCAAAGAGAGAAGGAGACAGAGAATCAGAAGCAGGTTCCAGGCTCTGAGCTGTCAGCACAGAGCCAGGTGCAGGGCTCGAACTCACAGATCAGCAGATTGTGACCCGAGCCGAAGTCCAACGCTTAACCGACTGAGCCACCCAGGGGCCCGGAGGTTAAGCTTAATTCTAAAGGAAGGGGTCCATAACCAGAAACTAGCAAACTCGCCTGCTCCAACCGGAGGACTGAATGCATGAGAACACGGTTTAAAAAATTACGGTACCTTCAGGCTGCCACCTCAGTGGGTAAAAAAAATTTTTAACATTTTTTTAAATCAAGTTGTTCTTTATTAAAAATAATTCTCAGGGTACCTGGGTGGCTCAGTCGGTTAGGTGTCTGACTCTTAATTTCAGCTCAAGTCATGATCTCACAGTTTGTGAGTTCAAGCCCCGCGCAGGGCTCCACGCGGACAGTGCAGAACCTGCTTGGGATTCTCTCTCTCCCTCCCTCTCCCCTGCTTACATGCTCTCTCAAGAATAAAAACATAATAATAATTCTTACGGATGTTATAAATAATACTTCTGAAGAACATATGATTTTCCATTATGTATTAAAACTAATTACTTATTGTGATTATTAAAATATTTTATAAAGTGAAATAATCCATGCAGAGACAATATAAGAATTAGAGTATTTCTTGCATTTTGGAAATTTGGGGGAAAATCCTATTTTAATATACCTCTTAGCATTTAATTTAAAGTATCTATGTATTTATGTGTAAATAATATAAATCACCAAAAGAATCCCCCTTAAACCACACAAAGGTATTTTCTCTATAACACTGGATTACTTTTTACTAAATATTCACCAAATGTTTCTGTATGTAGTTTCTTAAATGATTTTTGCCTATTTCTCTCTTTATTGGCCCATTACTTTTGCTATTGCAAATGTTTTATTCACTTTCTAGTAAGGATTGTCTCACATTTTGTGCTTTCTTTAGTTCCTGTTCTATTTGATGGCCTTCAGGAATACAGTTTTCCAGGTTCTTCCATTTATTTGTTTGTTTGTTTGATTATTAATTAGTAGGCTCCACGTCCCATGTGGGGCTTGAACTCATGACCCTGAGGTTAAGAGTTGCATGCTCTACGATTGAGCCAACCAGGCCGTTTTATTGACTTTTTAAAGGTTTGATTTGGTACTATAAGAATTGCTCAATTCTTAAAACATGTTTCTCAAGTATGCCCTGTAAAAGGCATATCCTACCTAAAATTCTCATTCTTGTGAAACACTTACACAATTAGAAAAGAACATGAGCATTCTATTCTCAGACCTGCTGATAAAGAAAACTGCCCCCAACGTGGTCTGGGACAGGATGTCTTGCGTGATATAATTATACCCCCCTCTGGGAAGTGGCTGGCGCCCTTCTTCAAAGGCTTGAGCAATTTTCTCCTAGACTTAATGGGATTAAGAACTCCAGGGATTGGCTCCCCACCCTACTGAGCTGACTTTCAAGCTTTCACTCAGCCTCTAAGCATGCATTCCTTTATTGTAACATTTTTTTTTTAATGCCTCCACTATCTGAGAAATACTTTAATTAATTGTGGCAAAGTTTGAAAGGAAACTGTCTTGTGCTTGTAATAAACAATTCCATCCGAGAAGATGTTTTACCAGTGCCCTAATTTGGTAACTGGTCTCTTCTCTAACAAAAGGATAATGATTATACTTGGGCACTGTTCAAAGTTTTGGAAGATAACCCAGGATGGGTATCCACGGCATTACAATTATCCTCCACATTCCCTGGGATGTTTAGAAGATGGTAAAATTAGGATAAAATGTTCTGCCTGTCTTCCGAAGTTTTTGGTTTATTTATCAACTCACCCTTCCATGACTGATTGGATTAAGTGCCCCTGCTTGAGGACAGGGCTTCCCTTCCAACTTGAACCCCATTACCTACACATTCTGCTTCTAAGACCGGTAGGGGAGTGTGTAGCCAGCTGGGGAAAACGCTTAGCAACTACGGGAAACCAAGACTGTACCGTAATGTCTGTTGGCTTCGGTATCGGGATCTGACAACATCTTCTCATTGCTGGAATTCAGAAGTGGCGCTGCTGGCCTTAAAATGAAATTTAAAAAGTAAAGAATAGATGACTTTTTTTTTTTTGGCTCTAACTTCAAACTAATAAAATAACCAAGGAAAGATCATGAGAAAACCAGGAAGAGTTTTCTTTTTCTTTTCTTTTTTAAAGAATTTTCTGCAGTTACAAAAACTTTACCCTCTCCTGTGGAAAGCTAACATTGTTTTCAGCTCTAAGATTATTTGACAAAAACTTTTCGCCGTTAAAATAAATGTCAGCGCCAAGGGGAACCTGAACTGCGGGCAGCCTTTATCAGGCGAATCCCACCCCTCTGAGTTCTTCAGCCTGTGCTACTGTTTTTCTCCAGAACCATCAGAGCTATCATTTCCATACTTTTGGATTTGAGGTTTCAAAAACAGTAAAATGATTACAACCATTTTTTTTTAGGCCAACTCTATTTTACCAAGAAAGTAAATTCTAAAAATTCCCTCTACTGTCAGTATAATTTCATAAGGAAAAGGGGATTTGACAGGTAAGAGTGTCGGAAGGACATGGCCTCAGAATAAGGCCATTCTTTCCCAGGGAAGGGCGATTGGCAATCTTCCACGGAGACAAACACACACGCATGCACACACGTACACACACACACGCATGCACGCACACCTCCACTACTCACACCTAAGACCTTATTTTTCTGAGTTTCCCAAGAAAAAATTCCTGATGACCAGAATTTCCCTAGAGTTTCCACATGTCTACAGAGCCACCCACGTCTCTTCCAAATACGCACACTGACCTGGCCATCTCCACTGGCGTCTGCTTGGCTTTAAAAGAGAAAGAGAAAATCCAAAGTCAGTATAAAATAGCCATGTCCATACCAGATAGGAACACTCATCTTGACCATATTTGACTTTCTTGAAGGCTGAATACCCATAAAAAGAGAAAAGAAAGCCAAATCTGTTCCTGCCTTTAAAAGAGAAGAAAATAAACAAATAAACAAAGTAAGTCTTTTCTTGCTCTTATACTGAGAGATTTCACATTTCCTTCAGGAATATGACATTTTGACTGTTTTAGCCAGGAGCGATTTTCCTTAGTGGAATGTGATTGAGATGAAGATAATGATAAAGGAACCAGATAAGCCAGATATATAGGCAATTATCGCTTTGATTCAAGAAGATTTCAAAAAGTAAAAGTGACGTCAATCCTTCTGCTTTTAATTCCAAGCTGGCCTGAGACCAAGGCCAGGGTCAACCTTAGGAAGGGGTTGGTTCTGGAGCCCGTCTACCCAGAAGGGTGGCAACTTTCTTGCTCCAGAAAAAGCCCAGGGCCCCACCTTATCCATCTGCCCCCACCCATCCCAGGTAGCCTTACTCCACAAACATTTTTGCAGAATTTACTGGGACTGTGCCCTTTTCCTTGAGTTCAGGCTAGCTGACTCTGATTTCTGAGGGTCAGTGGGTGATCCTGGCTTCCCTTCCGTGCATGGTTAACCTCAAGCACAGGGTAGAAATCATGGCACAAGTGGCAGATTAATTGGGAGGCATTGAGTGTGTGTGTGTGTGGGGGGGGGGGGTGCGTGTCTCCATAGCACTCACAACCCACTCTACCAACTGCAGGACTAGTTGTGGCCAAATCCACAGAAACAGCTTCTTCTGATCACATGTAGATGCAATCTTCCAGATTCATCTTTTCTGGGTTGTCCAACTAGAAGAACCATTGCGTTCACGTGTGCCTAGCTAAATCCAAGGGGCAATAAAAGCTTTGTAGCTCAAATCTTTGGTTATCAAGGTGACTCCCCCCCCCAAGGAGAAAAACAATTGTCTCCTCAGTTCCCGCTGGGGCAGAGCACCAGCTCTCCATGAAGCTGAAGCATTTCACATCCATGGCCAGTTTCTCCTGGCCAGGGCGACCTGCCAGAATGCAGTGAAAGAATTGTACTTACCCTTGGCTTTCTTCAGAAAACAGCATCTGGCTCCAAGTATCAAGGTGGCAATTATCACTCCGATGACAACCACGGCAATAAGTCCTTTCTTCCATGGGGCAAGAAAGACTGGAAATGAAGAAAGAAACACACACAAGCACACACACAGGTTTTTCCTCTGTCAACAAGAAATAATATCAAATTTAAGCAACAAATAAGACTGAATTTTATAGTCCTTGTAACCAGCATCTTGCATGAGCATCTACCTCCAAAGGACTCTTGTGTTCATAGCTGGTGCAGAAATGTTGTTTTTTGGGTTTTTTTTTTTTTTTTTTTTTTTTTTTTTTTGGTTTTTGCTACAGCTATGGTCTTAAAGGACCATTGGACTGAAGTAGATTACTTTTTGGGGGTCTATTCATCCCTTCTCCTTCACTAGGAAGCCACCTTTACCCACATTGGTGGGCTCCTGAAACTATGTCCCTTCTGCATGACCCAGTCCTCTTGGCCACAGGTGGTCCATGGGTGGACATTTGACCCAAGACAGGCCAGTTGATATCTCTCTACCAAGAATTTGGAGTTACGATTATATGAGAAATTTCTAATCTTTATAATAACCAATTCCTCTTCTATATTTAATTTGGGTGCATGTCTGTCACTTGCAATAAAAGAACCTTGAGAACATTGGTCTCTCAACCCTCAGTGAAATGAGCTAAACAGCCACCCATTTCCTCTTACAAGGGGTGAGACTTTGGCTTCGCTCTTGGAAACCACACTATATCTCACTGTTGAGACCCTGACTCACCTCTGACTGTCAGTATGTTGCTTTGGGGATTGCTTTTAACAAGGTTGGCTCTGTTGAAGGCTGTGCAGTAATATTGTCCCTCATGTTCCTTGCTAGCCTTCTCCTTGTGCCAAATGGCGTAGGTATCATTTGAGATGATCTGGTAGAAGGGACTGCCCTCCTTTTCTCTGTAAAACCTGTAGGTGATGGGACCAGAGGCATCATTCACGGAGCACCGAAGCACAACCTCCTTCCCAGACTCCACCTCTTCATTCAGCAGGATAGTGAGCTTGACCTCATCCACAGGGGCTGAAAGGCAGAGAAAGGGACAGCACTAAGAACCGGGGGAGTCACAAGGGAATGAACATGACACAGCACTGCCCATGGCTGTCCTGCTGCTGCACTGTGACCAAGACTGGGATCCTTTTACTCAGTTCATTCCCACCACCCTCCCTGCCCCATCAATACCACATTCTTCAGAGCCTCTCCTCCCCCTTAGCCCATAAGGGCAGCAACAGATGCCTCCTGTCCCCACGTGTTTTTTATTTTTTTTTATTTTTATTTTTTCAACGTTTATTTATTTTTGGGACAGAGAGTCAGAGCATGAACGGGGGAGGGGCAGAGAGAGAGGGAGGCACAGAATCGGAAACAGGCTCCAGGCTCTGAGCCATCAGCCCAGAGCCTGACGCGGGGCTCGAACTCACGGACCGCGAGATCGTGACCTGGCTGAAGTCTGACGCTTAACCGACTGCGCCACCCAGGCGCCCCTCCCCACGTGTTTTTTAAACACAAGATGCTATGGACGCATCCCCTCACTTAGCACCTCAAGTATTACTCCACACTTAGCCTGAAGATATGATTAACCTCTGTGTCCTGTTGATTTTTATTCTGTGTGAGTGTGTATGAGAGAGAGAGAGAGAGAGAGAGAGAGAGAGAGATTTCCCTCCCTGTGCTTACAAAGATGCATGGCATTTCCAGATCTTATGAACGAATAATCTTGATCCACCACCTTTAGTTATTCTTGGTTTTCTCCTTTTCCTTTTATAGATGTTCTAAACCAATCATTCTCACTTCCTCGTTTTCCCACATTCTCGCTACTCCTGACATCTGACTTTCAGTCTGCTTCGGAAACTGCCCTCTATCTCTGGTTTTGAAGAAACCCCAAAGGTCACCAATCCCCTGACTAGCCCATCCCTGAGTCTCCAGCAGATTAAATCCAGCCTTTAATAGGCTCCCATCTAACCTTCCCACCTGTGGCCTCAACTGCTACCCAGCTTCTTCTGGGGCTTCGATGATGTCTCACTGCCCAGATTCACTAGTTTTTCTTCCTTTTGCTCCTTAAATATGGACTTTCTGCAAAATTCAGTCCTCAGCTTTCCATCTCCATTCTCCTTTCTGGTGATTTCACCCACATTATAGCTTCTGTTTGTGCATTTAACACGTAAGCATGTGGCATTTAATGCCTAAATATATAGCTCTAGTCCAATTACTCCCCTGAATTCCAGGTCTGGATTTTGACCTGGGCATTTCCACCTGGAAGTCGTGCCGGCCTCTCATTCCCAGCAGATCCAAGCAGAACTCGATGTCCTCCCCTATATCTTTTCCATGTTCAGTTACTGAAATTTTGATCCTCAATTGTCTTCCCAAGTAGACCTTCCTATCGGTGTGAGAATTGACTGGTCAGCACACTGGCATCTGACCATGAATCACCTCCCTGAAGAGTACAGTGGGTCACTAGACTACGGAGCTGCTGCTCCCACAAAAAGGGAGGACCAGGCCCTGGATGGGAGGGTGGGGTTCCACCACAAAGGCAGATCCCAGAGGGTGCAGCCTGATTCGACAGCATCTCTCCTGATAAAGTACAAAGGGGTGGTGGCAAGCCAGCTTCAGGAGCCACGCTGCCTGGCCTTAATTCCCAGCCCCATTGCCCACCAGCTGTTTGTCCTAAGCCTTAGTTGTCTCATCGTAAAACAAGGATAGTGATCATGGGCCTTTCATGGCTATTGTAAGTATTAATGAGGATAATTTACTACAACACTTCACACAGGGGTGGGCACATATTCGGGGTCAGTAAATGTCAGCCACTAATGCTGACCCAGTTTAAACCAACAGTTTCACTTGGCATTCTGCATTAGCTTTCTCTTTTCTTCCTCCTCCTCCTCCTCTTCTTCTTCTTCTTCTTCTTCTTCTTCTTCTTCTTCTTTTAATGTTTATTTATTTTTAAAAGA